GACGTACTTTTCATTTCGAAAATGAGACTGAAGAAAAAGCATATTTTTCATCGGTTTCAAGAAATGGATAGTTTTAAGCATTTAATCTTCGTAAAATACACCTACAAAAGCGTATTGATATTGAATGAGACTAGTTTGAAAGCACCTAAGTTTTGGTAAGTACAAATTATACCATTTCGCTATATTTCAAAAATTTCGAAGTGACCTTCATATTAGGAGAAATTGACCTATGAATAATATACTCTTCTGTAGACAACACTATCGTGAATCTGAATCTGAACCGTATCATACATCTTTCAGAGACGAATTCGGTCCACTCGAGAAGTGCATGCTTTATCTACGAATCTATTTTTGCATAGCCTATACTAATTGAAATATTGAAAACATGGTAACATGACTAAATTTCAACAAACGAATTTGACAAATATTAGCGAAAGGTGGTAGGCAGTCGCGACATTTCACTATCCCAAAACTGAGATTGATTTAGATCTGCTTAAGCATTGCCAATTCTAGCTATTCGTTATTGTTAAAGATTTGAGTAATTAGCTGAGAAAATTTTAAAAATGTTCTATGAAACTTTGCAGTCCTGGAATAGTTAAATATAAAACGGTTCATTGAAAGACTGTAGATGAGCGGATACTGAAAGATTCGCTTTAAAAATGTAACTGACATCCTCATTTGGAATTATTAGCTTAGTGATATATTATTAATTGAATATTCTTATGAAGGTATTAAGAACTTAAACAAACACATTTCGCCCACATTGAAATAGAAAATATCATGCCATCACAAATTTAGTAATTAGTTTAAAAAATTTTAAGATAGCGCATACCGATAAAAAAAGGAAACCTAATTCCTGACTTTAGAATTTCCCACTCATATCATATACATACTTGAAAATAAGTGGACACCTCATTAAAAAGCACAAAAACATAGCACGAAACATAAACACATCACAAACGCGCAAAACAACAGCACAAAAAGTACTAAAATGAGAAAAAAATGTCTCAGACAGATCATTAGACTAGCATCTAACTATAATAGGCATGTTACATGAAATTAATATTTCTCGTTTAAATCTGAAAATCAATTTTGCAGTATTAATTTAAGTAAATAATAATCCTCTGCAGTTTTGATCTTATGCTTAAAGTTTCCTAAGTAGCATTTAAATTTTGTAACTCCCAGAAGCAAATATAACCTATAACACACGATTCTAAAAGTAAGACTTAAAATCACTATCCTCTCATTAGCCGTAAATCTTGACATGATGTACCCAAAAGTGAGTCTGTGGGGGCTTAAATGAATTGCGGCAATGCAAAGCCAATCCGATCTCCACGTATTAGTTACATTTTCCAGCCATCATATATATGAAGAGCATGCAGTGTGCACAAGCAAAGTAAGCCGATGCAGTCCCTAATGCTAATTAGTCCAATAGTGAAATCGACGTACTACGCGACTGACCGTCGCTGGATTGTTCCTGCCGGACTCACTGTCCTCCAATTACTGGCAGGTTGACTCTCGCTTGATGAGCTCCGGCTTTCTAATGACACGGAGTGGATTACCATGAAATAGAGCTTCTCTCCCTCCTTCTCGAAGACTGTGGCCAAAATGAGCTTCGGGAACTTTACTTGAGATTTAGGATCGAGTGAGACTGAATCCTTCAAACGGTTTCTGTTTGCTAGTTATTTATTCTGACCCTTCTCCATATTCCTAGAAATAAACGGACAGCAGAGTTTGTATGGTATAATGGATATTTGAGCACTATTTAGAAAACTCTTACGTTCAGCCAAAATAGAAACAAAAGATATGTTCGATATATGGGACATAATGTATGTAGTATTTGAAAAATATAAGTTATATTTAGATAAAATATTCTGTTTGTATATGGTAGGTCAAATTTTCTTGTTCTCTTATTTTGTGCTATGAGGAGAGTTTTAAAATCAGTAAAATCATAGTCTTCTAAATTTTTATTACCGTTACATGAGGTTTTTGTTACTGGAGCATTATAATCATCCAAGAGATCTGACAGGGCTGACATTCCACAAAGCATCTTTCATTTATTATCCATCCGACAAGTCGAATTACTAAATCTTAGCAGTCTGCCAATCGAGTTGGCATAAGATCAACATAATAATTATACTCTGCTCAACAAACTGAGTGCTTTGAAACAGTGTACGTATTTCTTAATAACTTACGTCTTTAATTTACATTTTATAATACATATCTTTAATGAATCAAGTAATTTATAATGCATTTAATTTACGTAATTTGTAATGCCTCTTATTCCTGTAATTGACAAAATACAATTAGAAAAGAGGTAATCCATATTTCTGAAAATGTAAATAAGGTGTATTCTCGATTATCCTGACTAATTCCATGGAAACAGGTCACGAATAACTGAAAAACACGGACAATTTAGTCTATCAGTTTTCATGCATTGTATGTATTTATGTGTTATTTTACGTACTTATTTCTTAAAAAAACAGTAATTATATTTTGGTTTTGAGAAAGTTTAATGAGTTATCGAATTTCGTTATGCATATTTCGAAGAGTTATTTCATTACTGTATTCAAATCCCCTTTGGTCAACAAAGCCCAGTACAGTTTCAACGAATTGTCATTGCTGTTTTGAGACTAATGTAATTGCTAGTATCGCCTTCACTTGTATTTTCAGTATCACTCTCCGCCTCTTCTGTTCTCCTGACATTTGAAACGATATCAGCATCCCTCAAACTTTGAAAGTCAGACTCAGTCAAACCATCATCGAATCATTCCTCGGTTGTTTCTCGATCGATATTTCCGAAGAATTCTATGTTTTCAGTTTTTTTTCAATTCATACAACTTCAGTTATTGCTTTGACTTCTTTACAATTAGATAAATACTCGATTTTAGTTTAAGAAGAATCTTTCTCTATGATCGAACTAGAAATATTGGTTTTACCTTCAGCCAAGCTATGCGTGCGAGAGTGGATATCGTCATGCATGGATAATCCGCAGTCGGATAATCGAGAGTACACTGTCTATGTCTGTATTGAAACACCACTTCTTCGAGATGATCAAAATAATGACACAGATGACCAAAGTAATTTAAAACGTTTGTGGTCATCCTAGAAATGATCCCTACTATTTAACTCATAATTTTATAAGCATTTGAGGCGCTAGGGTAATTAGTAAAAAATACTAACATTATGTACTATGATGCACCTCAGTACCGAATAATTATCACTGAGAAGCCAAACTACAGTTTTTAGAATACAGTAATAAAATTAATTTTCCATTTTAAATTTATCGTTTTAAAATTCAATATACAGCAGTATTTCAGCGTAAATGGGACATGATTAAAAGTAACTATTTAAGAAAACTGATTATGCTGTTTGTGATGTTATATTACTGATAACTAATACTTACTCTAACAGGTATTCAGAAAAAGAAAATGGAATATTCTCTCATCCAACATGAAGAAATCAAAGAAACATTTTAACACTCATTGAAACATGTAATTCAGATCAGGAATATATAATTCAAATTGCTCCGGAGTTGGTTTTAAATGTTATTTAAATTTATCCGCTACAAAGAAAAATAGCAGCCCGCATTACTTGAGTTTGAGTATGGAAACAGCAGTTTCATTGATGCGGCTGTCCTAAATTCTTCCAACATTTTTCCCTTCATATGTGCCAGCATTAGTTACAGTACATGCCAACCAACTAATGCCATTGATAAAAGTTTATAATTTATTATTTACAACGAATTACGGAATGAATTGGAAAGGAAAATCTTTTATTGTCTATTGCTTCAATACAGGTTTAATCAGTCTGTCCTTATTAAGAAGGAAGCTTAAGATTTTCTTCCTTAATATGCACATAAATGCTTAAATTAAATTAATCTAAAACAGAAATTTAACAGTGTTCATACCAATGATAAGAATACAATTTCACTACAAAAGTTTAAAAGTTTTAGATACGAAATTCTCCAACCTCCCCCCCCTTTTTTTTTTATCCGTTCAGGTTTAAAGGAGAAAAGGTGCACACATATTATTACATGTGTAAAAATATCATTTTCAGGACACGGATCATTGGATATACTCTTTAAATCAAGTATATAACACAGTGCACATACTTTTCATGGGTAACAACAAAATTTTCAGAACACGATCATTTGATATACTATCATTCTTTAAATCAAGTGCATAACATAGTGAATTTTCCTTTTCACAAAAACGGTTACCCCTCTTGAAGTTCCAGTACATTTGAGAACATAATTGACATCTACTCTGAATATCGCTTAGCAAATCAGAAGACCTTCTGCAGAAGACCGAAATAGTACGCATCCGAGATTAGTCTCATTAAAGGGAGTTAAAAATATATTTGATAAAATATACTAATAAAGTGCTTTTTAATAACTTTAAGTGCGTTTATAAAAGTTATCGATTAGATATGTCATAAATTATGGGAAGTAGATGCATTATTGAAAAATAAAATAACGATATATCAGTTATTAAGTACATTGCTTTTAAAACACTCTATTGCCTAACACTATCCATGCAAGATACTTTTGTAACTTGTAAAAATGGATTTAAAATCTTCTACTCTTAAACTTGGAAACATCTTAGAATTTGCAGTTGAGTTAAAATTGCAAATTTGAGATCTACTGCAAAACTGAAAACAGCTTTGAAAATTGACCGTGAACAAGGTCGTACAGAGGATTAATAATATTGTAATACTATAGCGTGGTATAACGGAACCCAAAGAAGTGAGAAACACATGGCAGTTTTAAAGCTGAAAAATAACTCATAAAATCAAGCAACATAAATATTAATTTGAATTTCAAACATAATCAGACAAAGAACCAGCCTGTTATTGAATGCACTTTTTTCATCATTGTTTACATTACATGCATCCATATAGCTTTAAAACATAATGCTCAGATAAATTATAATTTTGTTCAGTGATTAAAAAAAATACAAAAATTCTTAAATAAATTTAAACAAAAGCATAAAACTTACTTGAACGAATTCTGCATCATCGTATACGTTGTTACCAATAGTGTAAGTTCTAAGATCAATAGTCCTACCCAAAAGCATGGACAAAAGATACGGAAGAAACACGCTCGTCATGATGGACCTAAACAGTAATTCTGTAAAGTTAATTAAAAATGAAAATGCAATTCTGTTAATTTGAAAGAAATTATTTATCATAAAGGAGAGGGAAAGTAATTGCAAGAATATATATTCTTATCAATAATTTACTCTAAGTGGAAAAGTCCGGTCATTTGCATTCAGTCCTATTCTGGTAATTCGTTGAAAAAGTAAAAATATGCCACATTTACTCATATATTTAGTCCTCCTCGAGCATTCTCTCCCCCACTCCTACTTTTTTTAGCATATGCACATGTAAGAAATTATTTGGTGTAAATAAAAAAAATATTACTGAAATTGATAAGTCCCTTGAAATTAATAATATAGAAATATTAATGCTGCTTTTTGTGGCTTTTAATAGCCTATGCTTATCATTTAAGCCGCCTTTTTAAAAGCAGTATACACCGCGTCTTTTTTCTCCTCCCGGTTTTCAAGCAGTAAAATTAGAAGGAAAAGGGGGAGAAATGCGCGAGTAAAGACTGTAATCCTCAAACTTGATTGACACCATAATAAGCTTTTCTACTTTCCTTCTTCATTTTCAGTATCTCTGCAATGTACTTTTCACTGTAAATGTTGCTCAGTTGTGTGCGTGAGCAGTACAAAGTTATAAAAAAAGAGCGCAGAATAAATACAAATAGTAGTAAATAAATGCTGGTGTGCCTTTTCTTCTTTTAAATTTGTTACATTTAAGTGCTTGCGCATGTCCAAATATGCAAGTCATAAAGTTGAATATTTTTAATGCTAGAAGATATCCAGAGCATTTACCCAGATGGACATCCCTAATATTCTCTGATGAATATTCCAAGATATATATTTTCTGACTTAGAGGGCAAGCTTAGTAAATTTGAAAAATGAACAATATTTTAAGACTTCTTTTATTATTTAGGTTTTCTTGCACTTTGTAATTGCCCTTAAGCTATTCCACTTTAGTTGAAGAATTGAAATCTGATCCCCTTTTCCTAATATTTAAATAACTAAGCTGTTGGTTTATTTCTGTTTTGCTTTCCTATCGCTAAATGGGTTTATTAAAATTTCTTTCATTACAGAGTCTTATCTTGGACTTTATTTGAATTTTTCTTTTCCGCATTGAAGCCTTCCCCAGCGGCTAAACATCTAAGTAAGATAGTTGAATACTGATAGATTCTTCCATTGTAGCCGAGAGAGACCGCTGATTACTGGAATTTGAACCCAGTTTCAATTCCAGTCGAATCAGCTGACTACAAGTTGACTTTCTTGGTTTTTCCCACTTGTAATCTGAAAACGAGTCGTTTTCCCTTCAAAAGTCTTTTACGAAGGCTTTCCTTTGCTCAGGCAAATAGATTCTCGTGCTCTGCTATATTCAAATAACCAGTCAACCACTGATAGCCTTAAGGCTCAAAGCACGATTAATAAGCCAACAGCACAGGATTTTTCTGGTTTATCCCATATGCAACGTGAAAAAAAAAAATCTCCTTTCGGAAGTGCTCTACAAACGTATCCCTTCCCTTAGGAAGGTTTTCCTAGTGTGATTTTCGATAATTTAGCAAATGCTACCCTTTTTGTTCCCTTAGCATATGCTTTATTAACTTGATAACAGTGGCAAGGTTCAGTTAAAACTTTCGAAACTCATTCTGTATAAATTTTCCTTCATTGGGATAATTGTTAGCGAAAACGTTTTAACTTTTAGGATAATTATATTCTGCCAAATTATTTACTTCTATCAAAAAGAAATGTAAAAGTTAATAAATAAGCAGTTAATCAAAAATAATGCTAACTAAATTTTAGTCAACTTTAACAGAAAATCATTACTGCAAATATGTCAGATTAAAATATATACGTGTTATTTAAAGCAAAATAAACGTTATTCTCCGTGTGATTTCATCAGTAAGAAAATTTAAAATTAAGGGAACATAGCAACTGTGCTGATGCTGATACCTGTTGTATAATTTTTAAAAGATTAACTTAGAATACTGACTTAATACTGAAGTATCGAAACCACCTCTGATAATGTTAGTGGTAAAGGCGCTATCTCTGAGTGCCCAACTCACTGTATCAATTTCGGACAGTAATCTCAAGCTACATAAGCAGAATTCTTGAGAGGTTTGCTTCAAGTTATTTATAAATGTTGTTAAGTCTGGTAGGCAACTAGCATGCTCTTATGGACCTTTTTGTTTTAATCCCTATACCTTATGCTATATTCTACTCGTATAGGCGGTTTAATAAATAATATTTCCTCTGTTCTATAATAGTAACATCAAGTGAATATTTAAACGGGAATAAATGGGGAATGCAGCTTAAGTTATGTTGTAGCTCAAAATTGCGAAGACTTCAATCAAAATCAATGTTCCGTTACATCTGTAATTTGTTTAGACACATATTCAAATTTTAGATTAACATAATTATAACGAACTATAACTAATTTTTAATTTCATCCGCTGATCGAAATTAATCGTTTTATTTCAGTTGAATATGAACCCACTGTAAACGTAAGATAAAAAAAAGAGTTTTTGAGCAGAGATCGAGTTGCGATTGTCTAAAACACAATAACGAAATATTGAAAAATCCTGAAACTATCTAAAAATTCAAACTAAAAATTAAGAATAATATTTTTAATTTGTTGTTTAATTTAATCTATTTTTTATGTGTGTTCTATATTTATTTCCTTTTGATACTATTATGGCGCAAACTAAATTCGTCAACTACTACAATTGTTATGGAACAGAGAGAGTAATCTTCAATCTTTTCTTAAAATTTAAACAAGTTTATATTCAGTATTTGTGTTCAATAAACAAGTTTATATTCAGTATTCAATATTCACAAGCAGTCTATTTAGCAACTTAAATTCAGTTCTCTTCGTGCTGGGCACTTTTACGAAAATTCGATTTTCACCTCCAAAAAGATTACAAGATACATATTTCGTTAGACATACAATCTCCAATAATAAATGATAACGCCAAACTGACAATAAGTTAAAAAACGGGAGAGCAATAATAAACTGTGTTTATCTGATGTCATGCATAAAAGACTTCAAATAATATAAAAAGATTCTTAAATTTAATTATTACTTAAAAGTATAATTTAGGGTTTTTCCTTTTCCTCTAAAAATTTTGGGAATCGATGCTTGTAGTTGCAAAATAAATTGCAGATAAAATGCTTCCTGATATGAGGCAAACATCGAGGAACATCTGGAAAAATCACAGAGAACCTCAGGAATGATACCTTGTGAAAAGCTGATACAGATAAAGCTATGCCTATTTTGAAAATATGTGCAAAATCAGTGTAAAAACTGAAAATAAGCTTAAATAAAAAAAAATTGAAATAGAACAGTAGCAGAAATAGAAATGAATACCCTACATCCCTTTTTCTCTCTTTCGCCAGCGACTTGTTAATTTAATATATGATTTTGCAAAGACATTATATAGGCTTCAGAAAATAAATTGGCTTCTGTACAGCATAAATAATTAAGTAAAAGTACATAACAACACAAACCATAAGCTGCTCTTGTCGATACGACTGTTAACGCAAGTGGTTGCCATCCATCTGGACATACATTCAAATCCTAAATAAGTTGGATTATTGTGATTGTCACGTCTGAAACAAAGGCATGTAAAATCCCTCTATAGAAAATTTTTCGTTCAAAGTTAATAACAAAGAAATGTTGATCTTTTGACAATTCTAAAGAGATTGCTGAATGGTAAAGGGAAAAAATTATTTTAGTTTTTCTTTACAGGGCCGCCTGAACAGTTGCTCTGCTTTGTATTTACAGCTTGGTATGTCTAGCCAGTGGAAAGAGTTTCCAGAAAAACGCAGATTGTATAATCAGATATATACGAACAGACATAAAAATATTAAAGTGATGCCTGCGGGGCAGTAGAACACAATACGTTTGCGGTAATGCAGTGCTTTGTTGATACACAGAATAATGAGACTTGCATGCGATAAAATAAATATTACATAAAAAATAATATACAAGTTTTCTGAGAAAACAATGAACTTGTAGAGAAATTAGGTATTTTTTTGGAAGCAGGAGAGATGAAAAATGAGCAACGCCTTAACCTGGAATCGAACCACAGACCTCTGAAATACGCGCCCACTACACCACGAAGACGAAGCGTGCAGACCACTACACCACGAAGGCATGTCAAGAAGGCGGGAGAAATATTTTTTAAACTCACAATACATTATACATTATTTGCAGCTAGTATTAGTAAAGCATTTAGTGTGTAAAAGCAGGAAAACAACAATATCAAAGTTACAAGAATATGCATAAATATGATGATTATATAGGATGATGATTATCGTTAGGGATGCTTATGTGTCTGACGCAGATGACAAATGTAATGTTTGTGTTACTTTATACAGACTCACACAAATCATAAATCTTTTTTAACATGTAAACATAAGAATGAAATACTTAAGAAGGAAGTAGAAAAAAGTGATAGAAGGGCAAGATTTTAAAAAATGCCTGTCAACTATATGTATTGAAATCTATATCGGTAAAGTATTAGTAATATCAAAATTTCTGCTGATCATTCGATATTCTTGAAATTATACTAAACCAAAGTTTGGATACTCCCAAATCCTGTCATACATCCTGCTTCTACTTTCATAAGCAACAAAAATTAAGCTAAATTTTCAATGCGTTCGTACTCCCTTGCATTAAAACGGTAGGTTTTAGTTTATTTTCTGAGTGTATCGTTCTAAAAATTATTATAATAAAATTATTATATATTATTATTATTATATTATGCTTAAAAACTACTATAATAAACAATTTAATTAATTGTGAAATTGCAAAATAATCTCTCGATGCGACTAATAGAATTTCGTATTTTCAACGCAGTTAAAACTATGCAGCCATCTACAAAAATGAAGATATGCAAAGAAAGAAAATTCCTCTTCTTCACATCGTACCTGCATTATTAAAATTCGTCATCCAGTTCCAAATAATTTTAACTTTTTATTTTGTAATCTGATCAGGAAATTCAGAGTAACTGGAATGGAATTTATATTGTGCTTT